ATGCTCAACAGATCAACAGCAAAACAAGAGCAAAAATCTTTCAAAAATATTGCAATTGCATGGATTATCAATTCATAAAAACGCAACTGCCTTCCCACATTTGCAGGCATTTGGCAGGTGTACATATACAGCATACTGTATGTACAGTGATATCGAACGCAGTACTAGTGTAGATCAAACTTCTATCCACTAGCATTAAGAAGCAAAACACTTTTTCCCCTTAAATGATGCCAAGGCCATTGTTTTTTTTTTAATGCTAAATTTGTACGTAGACGTTTAGCAGAATTCTCCAATCAATGGCACGAAGGCACACATCTTGACACCAAATTATGCAAATACAGTGTAGTTAGCTTACTCTTCAAGCACTGGAATATTTTTGCACTGGAATTTTTCTTTCACCCAACCCCAAAAAATCCAGTGCAAAAGATAAACCCCGATAAAAAGGCTAAAAACACGCCAAAAGTAACCCAAAACCCCAACCTCTGCTTGGAGAGTATAGTTAGCTTACTGTTACGTCAAACTCCGGTGCGAGACCAAACCGGAAGTCGGGACCAGACAGACGGGTTGATCAGGCAAATACAGAATATTTACTCCAGTGCCAACAACCTGTTGTGTTCTCTACAGTTGTGTCCTGCAAACGGGCCGCAAGAACCGTCCTCCAGTTCGGTAAGGAACCCTCCACGTCCTCACGTCGCCATGTTTGTCTAGAAATGTCCAATATTGTTGTCTGAGGGAGGGGTGGGGCTCGCTTCTCAAATCTCCAAGCAGATGTTACGAGTGGAAGATTGTAGCGTTTTCTGACTCCCAAGTCGCTTTGAAGCCTACTTGTTGAAGTAAGCAGAATTGATGGTTCTTAAAGAAGCTTTCTTGGGGGTTGGATGTCTTAGATAAACGCATGGCTGTACGAAAACGTTGCGATCGTTCCCTCTATCATCTGCTTGGAGATTTGGTCTTTTCCACTGTTTACGTTTTGCTCCAGATGACTTCACGGTTTCAAGTGTTCTGCATGGTCGGTAAAACGGCCTACTGGCCATTTTGGGGAGACTTAAGAGCATCAAACGTTACTTTAAGATTATTTCAGCTGTCTATAATCGTAAAGTATTTTCTGGAACAATTTTTAAGCGATATAACATGAAAAAAAGGTCAGACTGTGTTAACGCCCACTACACCAAAAACACCTAACAACAATAACATTCTAAGGTCTGGTAATTTCTTATACTGAAGAATTTAAACTTAAACCATTGAAGAATAGAAACTGATTTTGTGTGCAGAAAAAAATGTGCCCCAGGTCTAGCATTCTTGGAAACCCCCTATGATTTAACAGTTACTACCCTAGACGAATTTTGATTGGCTAATATTGGTCACATGACTGTACTGAAGTCTACTAATCATAGACTTGCAAACACTTTACCATATGGCATTATGAGTCAGTCTTTTGGATTCGTGCCATTTCTAGGGATCTGTTTTTAGCAAACAAAATCAATGACCTGGTATAACACATTGGGAAAGGTGTAAAGGTCAACCCCTTGTAGACCCTCTAGACATCATTTATTGACTATGATATCTGATGTCAGTTATGCTGTATCATCGAATAGTATCATACATGTAACCTGATGATGTTAACCAATCAGGAGCCCCCATTTGATGAATTAGGTTTGAGGCTGCAAATATCATTGGCCAACCAACAGGTGGTTGAAAAGCAATTACGAGTAACACGAGGAACCTGGGCCTATTTGACCTTAGGTTTTGACAGCTATACCAGATACAAATACCTTTTCTATGCTAAGACCCCCCCCCCCTGCAAAAGTAAATTAATTTACAGTTACTGTAATACTGAGTGCCTGTAGCATGTAATGTAAGAGGTATGAGAAAAAGACACACAGTTGGAGGTTTGAATTATCTTATTTTTAATCTCCAAGCAGATCTTTTGGTGGCTGCAAAGACAGTATGAAATTGGCCAGGCTGTATCCATTTGCCACACAATAAGCATTTTGCCACTGCCTAGCCAATTTGATACTGTCTTTGCAGCCAACAAAATACCTGCTTGGAGATTTAATACTAGTCACTATTTTAAATTTTGTCTGTTTGATTGTTTCGATTACATAACTGATGAAATCTATTGCCTCAAGGCACGTCATACCAGTTCAGTCCTTTTAGTGAAGGACAAAATATGTAAGGCCTGCATGTAGTCTCCACCAGGCTTTTCTAAAGCCTTGAAGGGTAGAATTTGGCAAAAAAAAGGGTCCGACTGGCATTAAAAATGATCTCAATGGTAGTCAAACTCCCCTGGTCAATTATTCTCCCTATTTGGTTAAATTTTAGTGTTTCTGAACCCACGTTGTTAGACTATATAAGACCAGGCCGACCGGTTTTATCCAGTCACGTGTACCCTGAGGCAAACCTTTACCCCTACGATGTAATTTCTTAATGCCCTGGGGGATACCCATGCCTCTAATTTGTCATTTTTAAAGGCAGCCAATGCAATTTTGGGGCAGCAGAACTGGATTTCTGAAGTTAATTATGCCATAGCATACTAGTACCAGTCTGATATTTCTGAGACAGTACATGGGGTCACCTGAAGGATGAACTGAACTGATATTTGTGGAGCAAAAACATGATGTCGCTGACAAAGAAGTGGTTGTTTTGTATCGTAGGCTGGTTCTAACTATTTATGGGCGGTACCCCAAAAATAACACCTAGTAACTTGGTTTGGGGCTACAAATGTATTTCAAGCACTTAAAGTATGAAGTGATTATCATAATGGCTCAAATGTGCTAAGAAATTTCAGTAAATGTCAAGATTTCCTCATCTAGAATATTTCTTTGTTTTGCTGCCCTGTGATTGCATTAGATGCCCCTAACACCCTACAATATGTAATTTATAAGTGTGGCATCTTCTTTAACATGCTCATCGCATGGCGTGTTTCTCCTTTTACATGCTTAAGGCATGTCTGTCCTTTAAGTTGAACAGACAAGCCTGAGTGCCATCCTCCATAGTTACAGGAGCACTTTGTTATTTCTTGCTCACCCATGATGAGCAAGCAAAACGAGCCGGCAGTAACCACTGAGAATGGCACCCAGGCTAACACATACATAGACAACTTGCATTTGCAATCCACTTCAGTACCATGCAATTTGCTTGAGCAACAGTGGTTGGGATTCAAACTCTTGACCTCCTAATTCCCATAAAATTGATAGATTACTACATGGTGTATTCCATATCACCGGTTAAAGGTAGCTTTGGGAGGGCTGAGGATGATGCACCATATAGTATTCTATTTATGTCATACCCACCTGAGAAAACACACATTTCAATGCAAAATGTGCCAAAAGTTTAGAAAACATTGTACATACGTATGTCCCTAAACAAAAAAAATGTTTAAAAAATTATCAATTCTAACATCCGAATCCAGTAATCTAAAGCAGCATGCATGGCCCACGAGAAGTGTGTTAATTATTCTTTGGAACTCTTGAAAGCCCATGTGATAACTGTAGAACCCTGTGTGATATAAGTTATACCACGGGCCAGAATACTATATCAAACAATATCACAGCCCTGCTGTGACATAAAATATGTTACGCACCGTAGACGAAGATTACGACTATGATTTGACAGATATTGTGTCAAATTTCCCAGAATTAAAACCTGTCGCTATAGCAACGCTAAAACGGTGCCAGGCATGTACTAGGACTGTGGGTGTACTTTACATGCCCTGATATTAGTTATGTTATTGAGATCGAACAAAAAGTAATTACAGCCTCTACTGTTCAAACAAGTCTTCCTGGTATATTTGCATCACAGAGTGTTGCTTGGTAGAGATGGAAAATATTAATCTGACCCACTTCCATGTAAATATATATAAATGTCAGCTTGATTTATGATTTGATGATACAAATACATCATGCATGCGATTGAATCAGTGTATTAACCAATCAGAACTGAGAACCAAATAGTCCAGGTAATTTTAGCCTTAGCTGAAATGATGCTCAGTTCTGATTGGTTGCGTGGAGGTTCAAATCTGTAGGTGTGAAAAGTAAATGTTATTTTGATTGACAGGGGTCTGTTAATTGAATTTGTAACAGGTGTTCCATGTTTACAAATCTTTCTTTATGACGTCGTCAACATATCATAAAGATATTTCACACCGTCATGAATGTTAACATCATAATCTTCACCATATGGACTGTTTTAATAGTTGCAGAGTCATTTCCTTAAATTTTTGACAGGACTTCTTAGCCAGTGCTATTTTTCCTAAAATCTCCAAGCAGATAATTTCTTTGGGGACAAGACACTATAGACACACAGCCCGTATCCAATTGACCAGTTGGATATGAGCTGGACACTATAAAATCTTGTATCTGCTTGGAGATTAATTTTCTAATATTAGTATTGAGTGTTAATACATTATGCCCAAATGTTAGTTTGCAAAAGCCAGTATGATCTACATTGTTAGCTTAAGTCATAGGAATATCAAGTGGTGCATATATATAGTAATTTATGCAAACAGTAAAGTTCCATTCTTAGTTGTAAGGCAAACTTATGAATTATTGTTTGCAAGGTCAAGGTGGTCCAAAGGATCAAATTCTACCCAATAAGATCATTGTAAATATTACATTTCATTCATAAAACATATCACCTGGAGAGTTTTACAAACTATCTAATAGTATACATTGTTATGTTTACCGAAGGAAAACATATTGTTTTTGCTCAGTTTCTTCCTCTTCTTCTTCTCCAAACAGTGACCTCTGACCTGACCAATGACATAATTTGTTGACGTCTGTCACCATGGTGACTGGTGTTGGGTTACATAATGTTGCAATTTCATGGTGTGCTCTGCTCCTGTCACATTATGCATTTGCTTTGCAAATGTTACTTCTCTAGTTACAATATTGTTGTTGTTATTTGCAGCTAGAATTCTGGAGTATCTATGGCGTCAGACTCATCCAGTGACTATGACTATCTCATCAAGTTCTTAGCATTAGGAGATTCAGGTGAGGGTACTTTTCCTGGGCCACACCAATTCAATCAGTTGGTTCTTGGATTCTCCCGCTTCCTTTTTTCTGATTTGCAAAAAGAAAAGCTTTTAGGTTCAGAATCATACTTCCAAAATGCTCATATTTTGGCCCCAACAGTTTAAGAAAGTCTTTGCCTTTTTTTTTACAGTTTTTCATCCATTACACATGTAATATAGTTGTTTTTATTAAGAGTTAAAAATTTATTGTCTGAATTATAAACCAGCCTATTCTTCATGACATGGTTCCTATCATTATATATAGCATTTGGGTCTATCGTAGGATGCCTAGGTCTGTTTTTACTTCTTTTCGCCCTGTTGCTTCATATTTTTCCTGAAAAAATTTGAGAACCAACAGTTTAAATTGGTATGGTCTTAGCCTCTCTTAGGCCATACTGACTATATGGATGACTGTATTGCCATCCTTTTCCTAACATATTTTTATGACTCAGATATTCTGAAATATGTTAAAAAAACAAGGAAACAATGTGTCCTCTTTCTTACAGGTGTCGGTAAGACCAGTTTCCTGTACCAGTACACAGATGGCACCTTTAACCCTAAATTCATCACAACTGTGGGTATCGACTTCAGGGAAAAGAGAGTGGTAAGTATTGTATAAAAAATTCAGTTTAATAAAGTTATGTAAAGGTAAAGTCCCATAGCCTTTTTTTAGGCTGTAGAGGCAGTGGGTTGTTATCCACTCTGTCTAGAGCATGGTATTGGAAGGTGGAGCCCATCCCTCTCCTTCCACTACCTTTTACCTTCCCAACCAAAGTCAGGTACCATTTGTTACACCTGGGTGGAGTGAATAAAGTTGTGTGCAGTGCCTTTCCTAGCTAAGGACACAACGTCTAGCCAGGAATGCAAGGAGTCGAACCCAGGACCTCTTGCGTATTTAAGAATGATATCCCATCTGTAGGTTTCATATGCCGTGTCAAAAAAGATATGCAACGGACAAAGTACTGATGCAACAATTACATTGACCAAACATTCAACAGAAACTGTGGTTTTGTACAGGTGTAGTACATTCTGCCAACAATTGCTCTTTGTTTGTTTGTTTCACATAACTGGTAAACCGCCTTTAGGTGTAACACATCAGTTTTGTACATGTACGTACATGTACAAGCTGCATAAGACTGGACTGTAAGGTCTCTTTGAGACTATAAGAGAGACTAACCTGTTCCTGTGTTGTGTGTTTGTAGGTTTACCGTCCTAGTGGAGCAGACAATGTCGGCAGAGGACAACGAGTTCACCTTCAACTTTGGGACACCGCTGGACAAGAAAGGTATTACATCCCATATCATTATTGTCTCTCAGGACTCTAACTATGAAGACAAGAAATATATGTAAAACAAAAATGTACATATTAAAATCTGATGCATAGGAATCATGGTGAGGAACAGTGAAAGCCTTAGTTTCATGATGTTTGGGCCTAGGAAACGGGTAACTGTTGTGTTTCCTGTTTCCCAACCGACCCTAGAAAAACCTGCCGTCCGTAGCCTATTTTTGTGTGGACCCCTGCAATTTTTCACGCTGATCACCTTTCCTAACTACATGATCTGACACCAGAGTGATGAAACGTTGTACAACTTGTTCAGAGGTAAAAGAAGTTTTTTAACCAATACAATAACGTTTCTCTATCGTGTTTCAGGTTCCGTAGCTTGACGACGGCGTTCTTCCGCGATGCCATGGGCTTCCTGCTTCTGTTTGACCTGACGAGCGAGCAGTCTTTCGTGAACATCCGCAACTGGATGAGCCAGCTGCAGATGCACGCGTACTGCGAGAACCCCGACGTCGTGCTGTGTGGGAACAAGGCCGACCTGGAGGACCAGAGGGTGATATCTGAGGAGAAGGCACGGGAAGTCGCAGAGAAGTATGGGTAGGTACAAAAAGGGATAGTGTACCTGTGTAATGCTTAGGTCACATTTCCAAACCGGGGCCCGGCCGGGCTGTCTATATGAACGAAAAATTAACAATCCATATCAAGAGTATATAGATATAGTGCCCATGATTATCATTGGAAATGTTCCTGTGTTTTGTTGACTTTTATATCATACTTTTCGTTCCCAAAAGCTGCCCGGCCTGGCCCCAGTTTGGAAATGTGACCTCAGCATAAGTAAGGTGGCTGGGTGAAATTGTAGGTATACTGCTACAACTTACAAGAGACATGAAAAACTGTACAGAGGAGATAGACAGAGACAAACAAAGAAAAGCTTGTCCACACACTTTAAATCTGAACTTTATTACTAACGTTTCAGTTTGCTGTATCTGAAAAACAAGAAATATTGAAAATATCACAAAACATGTTGTGTTTGGGACCCCAAATGCACGTTTGTATGAGGGTTTAAAGTCCAGATTTGAATTTCTTTGCTTTCCTCTTGAAAGAATGATGAATGGAAGCTCAGAATAAATATTTAACAAAATAGCAATTTTTTTTGTATCCACAGAATGCGATACCTTTTGAGACAAGTGCCGCCACTGGCTTGACAGTCCAGACTGGAAGTGAATTTGATGCTTCCACCTTTTCGGAATGAATGAAGGAACAAACAGAATGAACAAACAAATGAAATATTTCTTGTATCCACTGAATGATACTTTGAGACATGTGCCGCCACAGTCTTGACAGTCCAGACTGAATATGAATCATGTGGCCTCCCTCTTTTAGGAATTCAACGAGCGAACAAACAAGTTAATGAACAGAACAAACGATATTTTCTGTGTCCACAGAATGCCATACTTCGAGACCAGTGCGGCTACAGGTCATATACGGTCAGAAAGGAGTATAAATCCCTCCTACTATAAAATTGCAACATTATGTAATGCAACACCAGTTACCATGGTGAGAGGCGTCAACAAATCAGGTCATTGGTCAGGTCAGAGGTCAGTGTTTGGAATGGAAGAGGGAGAAGAGGAAACGTAGCAAAAACAACAGATCAAACAATATTTTCTGTGTCCACAGAATGCCATAGTTCGGGACAAGTGCGGCTACAGGTCATCATATATGGTCAGAAAGGAGTATAAATCCCTCCTACTATAAAATTGCAACATTATGTAACGCAACACCAGTTACCATGGTGAGAGGCGTCAACAAATCAGGTCATTGACCAGGTCAGTGTTTGGAATGGAAGAGGGAGAAGAGAAAACGTAGCAAAAACAACAGATCAAACAATATTTCCTGTGTCCACAGAATGCCATACTTTGAGACCAGTGCTGCCACAGGTTTGAACATCTCCAAAGCTGTAGAGGGTCTGCTGGACTTGGTGATGGTGCGTATGGAGCAGTGCGTGGACAAGTCTAGTCTCCCCATCACAGGCCACAAGAGATTAGAGGGATCCACCGTGGAGGTGGACGAGGCAGGGGAAGAGTCCAAATGTTTTTGCTGAGATATCCTAGTTTCTCTCGTTTTTTTTCTTCCAGAAAAGAGAACATATCAATATCAATGGGTGCCCATGGTAATAGCATTCCAAGTAAAATTTTAGATAATAAATGTAGTCCCTATAAAACGAATAACTTGAGGTTGCTGTGTCTAAGTGTGTATAAGAAGGTTCTTTATTCGACAACCAGTAGTGGGTTTTTACATCTGACGTTTCGGTGACTGTCTGTCACCTTCTTCAGGGCAACAATGACTGGTTGTGATTGGTACTGCAGCTAGGTGTCACTGCTGCAATGCTACAAATGTGGTCCCAAATGTAGAGTGTTGTCACATAATATATACATATTGTCAAGTAATAGTAAACAATGAATTGTTGAATAAAGAACCATTTTATACAGTCTTTTGCCAACCTGATGAAAATATTTACGGATGCGTCCAAGTGTTTTTATTCCTCGTGCCCTGTACTAGTGGTTACAACTGTAACAGTTACAGTATTTATGATATCAATGGTTTGAACAGTATTAATATCATATCAATAGAAATCCAATGGCCAAAGGTTTTAGAGTCATGAAAATATGACATTTCAACGTTGTGGGTTAGCTAAGTTAAACATAAACAGCTCTTTTTTGTTCAAAATTTGATGTAGATAGTGCTTAGACAATGCTATGGTACTGGTATGAAAATATGCACTCTTTTGCACAGGGTCAATGCACTGTATATTCGACTAACGCCACCTTAAAATTTGCATAAAGAGCGATCTAGTTAGGCCTGTTCACATTTCTTGTACCATCATCTTAAATCTTAAGAATGTCTTACAAGATAGTGACAGAAAATTTTGCTTAGTAACATCCTTGCTGACAGTTATAGCCTTATACATGTAGCCTTGCTGAAATTTCCTTTTTTTTTACAAGAAAAAAATTGTATGACGAGTGAAACTAGGCCTAATCATTGTTGGATATCATGAGATAAACATACATGTACAGTGGCACTGGACATTCCAGCAACTGAAAAATATGAGTGAATGTTGTACAAGAATGGTCAGGATTAATCTATATAGTGGCACATATCCAACCACATCTTTGTAAAATTTCAAGATGGAAGTATGGGACTTGGATCTATGGAGTCACATTTTGAAGAGGACAAGTTGAAAGATATCAGGCTCAGTCATAATACTTGTAGCAGACAAAGAGATATTCTAACTTGTGTTAACCTTCTCCCTGCTCAATGGCCTTTTAGCACCAAATTTGTATTGGTTGCAGGATTAGGCAGCAGGGAGATGGTTAAAAAGTATATTGGACTACTGTATTACGCTTTGGGACCTTTGTGTTTGACATAAGATCAAAATTACATAGGCAACAAATAAGTTTTTCCAGTTTGCTGTCCCATATACATTTATCCAGTTGAATATTTCTCTTTTTTCATAGATATGATCAGTATGATATCCTTTTGTGCTGTACATAGTCATAGAATTCTTCCAAAATTCCAAAAATAAAAGGCTATAGAAATATAATTGTCAGATGAAATGTATACTCCAATATATGAATTCTCAGAGTGGAATAGAATGTTATACAGTCAAATATTCAGATATACATGTAGAGATGGGATTTTGAGACCAATGTTGGTGTGTTATAAACATGTATTCATACCTGTATTACATATTGGCAATGGAGATTATCTATATAGGCTGATGGAATTTTAGAAAGATGGTCTTATGAATTTGCAGAGTGAAAGGGAGACATTTTGGAATTTTGAAATGATTGGAAATTTCATATCTATTATGAAGGATGTTACACATGTGTCTGGCCCGACACCACCCCTATTTTCAGTAGAATAGAACGGTCCAATAGATAATGCTTGCACTCTTAGGCCACACCAAGTTAATTTGTTGGTTCTCGATTTTTTTTAGAAAAAATGTGACGTGACGGCAAAAAAAACAAAAAAACAGACCAAGGCATTGTATGATAGCCCCAAAAGCTATGATAGGAGCCATGAAATGAAGTCGAACATACCAGGCTAATTCAAACATTAATTTTAAACTTTTAATCAAACCAATACATTGATAGATGGAAAAAACTGTAAAATCTATGAAGACAAGAACTTTCCTCAACTGTTGAGGCCAAAATATGAGCATTTTGGAATTGTCTTTTTTTTTTGCAAATCAGAAAAAAATGAGTTGGGTGAATCTGAGAACCAATCTGATTAAATTGGTGTGGCCGTACTTCAGCAAATATTATTTATTACCGTCAGATACCATCTTCAAGAACATGTTTATGCCTTATTGGTTGCACAAATGTGAAGATAACTAGAGATATTTTAGTTCTAGTTTGCTTACTGCAGTTATTTTTTGTCAGGTTATACATTTTGTATACCAGTAACAAAATAGATGTCATATGGTTTGTGACGGTTATGTGCAAATGTACCCAAGTGCTATTAGTTCAAGCAGTCAGCTGGTAACTTTTGTTTTTTGTTTTCTCAAGGAATAAACAAGACATAGTAGGATACTGTGCATTCCATTGAGGGGATGGGTATGGCTTTTTACATTATTACTTGTAGTTTTAAAAATTGACCTTCTTAGCACCCCCATGAAATAGTGGACTAATCATCAGCTGGCAATGTGAGGCCAAATATGAAAGGACCCAGGTAAGCCCATTCTCATGCAGTCTCTAGTGTCACTGACGAAAGGTAGTCGATGCTGAAAGGTCTGACCGTTTCCAAAATCATATCCAGTTGCTTTAGTTTTTTGGCATACCTTATTACCTGGATGTCTAACTTTCACCGATGTACCAAGGTAAGTAGTCTGGTTTTGTATTCTTTTCTACAGAAAGGGTGTATAGAAATTCTGGAAATGTGTTTTACAGACAGTTAACACACTGGTTAGCATTTAGGCGTTTTTATGGTCTGAACTTTTATTCTAGATCCTGAGATGATACTTTGTTTTTTGTATATAGATACTACCCTTTGGACTGCACACATTACTGGCATACTATGGACAGGTGGCATATCTCCTCATCTCAACATAAATGGAAAATTTGAAATGGCAGAAGAACAAACATTTCTGAATAATCAATTTCTAGGTGAAGTGAATGAAAAGTTGCTCAAGCTACTCACATCCAAAATTTGACCAGGTCTATTATATGCTAACTTTAAGTTTAAAGCATGATGCCAAAGTAAAATGCTACAAGAAACACAAGGAAAAAGAATGTGTTCAAATGCTCTACCTATGGACATTACTATTAAATTCAGCCATTACAAAAAAAAGTGTTTAAAATCAAACTACATTCCATGTCATAAATGATACATTTTGATTCACTGTAGTCAGTGAGAATTTAAATTGTACTTTCCAAATTAGTCTGGAGGAATAGTTTGCAATCTGAAGTACGCAAGAAATGGCCCTGAAAAAACAGCCTCTTGTGGGAATTTGTTCTTGTCACCTATCATTTTGAGTTTTACATTCAAGAGTATTCAACCGAACATGTACCACTTTATGTTCCACTATCTTTGTCAGAACTTAACACATTTTTCAAATCCATCTACTGACAGTCATTCTAACCTTCTCCCCATGGCCTAGGCAATAGAGAATTGGTAGTTAAATGGTTACTTCAGTGAGCAAGTTGGCAGAACGTACTGCGCCTGCACGAAACCCTGATTTCTCACGGTTTTCGTTGGATTCTTGGTCAATGTTGCATCAGAAATTTGACATAACATTTGGAAACTACAGACGGGATGTTAACCTTATATAAGTGAATACGACCTTATGTGAGATGTTCTTTCTTAGTGCTATGCACAATACATTACGGGTTTCGCACAGGTGCAGTACATTCTGCTGACGTGCTACTTCAGTATGCTAAAGGTTAACTACATAGGAGAGTACGTCTTCCATACAGTGACACAGAAAAGGTACGCTGTTCTCTATTAGTATCACTGAAATGCTTTAATAAACACAAACACAACAGGATATCCCTCGGTAGACAGTGTCATCTCTTGTAGTAAGAGATCACTTCAAGAACATCCCCCCGTTAACTGAAGAAGAAAAAAAATTGTCACATACAATTACAAATGAATAACTTGAGATCCATACACAGGCCCCAATTTACTAGAACAAAGAGCTGCTAGCAATCGATCATAAAGGTCTCTTTCTCATAAACTATGAAATAAATCAAACACAATTATTATCCACTATATAGAAGAGGATGGTTGTTATCAATAAATACAGGCTGCAAGGATGTTATGTCACACACAGCTATTTGACTATCAACTTCACTTGCAGAAGAGACACCTATTGGGTAGGATGCGAAGTACAGGGTAATACATTTGCAAAGTTGTTCGAAGAGAGAAGAGATTTTTGTAAGCTAACGGACGATAGTACTGGATATATGAATCGAAGCGAAGGCTAGATACAAACCACCCCAAATTTCTCCCTTTTCAGATGCGTTTTCACTTGTTAAAACCCAGATAATAGTCGAAAATGTTTCTCTGTTATACCATGGAGTTATTTTTGCACTAATCTCACCCCTTTATGCACATTTTTACATGAAATTTCGGCATGCAACTAGGACGTGTCCCATTACAATCTTTTATTTTCTAATATCCAATTGCTTGTTTACACTAAAGAATATAATAAGTCAAATAACCTAACACACTGTAGTAGGCTGAACACTGTGGCTTAAGGTATGAATGAAAGTTGAGTTGAAAGTCGGGTAATATGTAATACACATGCCTATGTCAAGATATCATTGTTTTTTTTCTGTTTTTTAAGAAATGAATTCCATCATCACTGCTGGCCTCATTATTCATGAATGTGCACGCAAAGTCTCCATTCACAACTTCGAAATTCCGCGTACTCCCGCGCCTAAAGCTTTTGGATCTTCTCGCCGACAACGACGGGGTTATTCTTGCGGATCTGCTCTTGTCCAGCTGCCTTGTAGTCAAACGTACAATCGTGTTTGTCGGAATACCGGTGAAGACCGCAGTATAAACCGCCGCAGCGACACGAAAAACCTGAAACACATGGGAAACACTCGGATGTGATCTTCCTTCTAAGACAAATTTTCTTTGAACAGTGACTATTTTTACAACATTTAAACACGATTATGTACCAACACCATGATCATAATTTTACTACATCAGAAAAGAACAACTACTAAACACAGAAACAAGAAAATGCGAATATTCAGAATGAAAATGCAGGCCACACAATGTGTTTATGCATAGTCCTGTCAATATATAATGGAGCAGCTAAGGCTGTATACATACCAGACAATATGAAATAACCTACAAGTAACAACTGCATCTAGATGAAAGACTAGCCAGAAAACGTTTTCAAACTTCATCATGCTAAGGTAGCTGTTTGGCACCAAATTGGTAGCACCTGTGTGGTTAGGCAGCATTGAGAGGGTTAAAAAAAGATGTGCATAGTTACCTGTAAGTCCTACTTTCTTCCGGCACGTGAAACAGCGATTTTTCTTGGATTTGCCTTTCTGTGAATCGGGACTATTCTGTGACCTGTCTGACTGATCGTCTTCTTGTAAGGTGGTACTGTCGGCTGCATTCGTTGTCGTTGGGGCGACCGCGCCCTCCACCTCTGCCTGCGCCTCGGCCGCCTGCGCACTCGTGGACGAATCAGCAGCCTCGTCCCAGCTGGCTACGGGCGAGGGTTCTTCATGGCTCGCGGTGTTGTTGGAAGTGCTACTGCTGTTGCCTGTGTGTGTGGACACATGGGAAATAGGGTTTGTACATACATCAACTCACAAATAGGTCAATGATGAACGTCAGACATCCAGGTAATAGGATACACCAAAAAGCAGTTACTCAAGCAACTGGATATGATTTTGGGAAATGATTTTCCAACGTCATATCCAGTTGCTTGAGTAACTACTTTTGGCATATCACAATTAGGGTTTTCACCACAATAAGTCTGTAACCGCAATTTCCAAAAGATTCATGAAGGTTCATGGTGTACTCCCAAAAACGAACACCCTTACACTGGTTGAAAGACAACTTAGGGGGATAGAGGGATCCAAATCAGTGCAGGGGGTCATATGCCTAAACTATGCCACTGTGCAGCAATGGTGAATCTGTATACAACTCACAATGCATCACTATTGTTTTTAGTATAATGATGATGATTGTTACACGAGAGACTTAAATTTGCTACAGCCATTCCAGAACAACTTAAGAACCATAACATGAAGTTGGAATGAGATGAGAACTTTACTGCTTTACTTTACTTTACTGAAGATTTCAAAACCGTGATGCGGCACTCGACATAACGTTACGTCAAACAAAATCTGGCTGGTTAGAACACTGGTCAAGACCCAACCAGCTACCGAATATCATAGGAATCCACATATACTCTACAGCTTCTTGAGTCCTGTTACTCAACCACAAACAAAACCACAAACATTACCGCAAATGGGGACTTTTCTTGGCGAAGGTAACAATGACCAACTGTTACTGTTATTCACGATGTCAGAAGGTGCTTACCTGCTGGGCTTATCCTTCCAGAGTTGGGGGAGTTTTGTTTTCTCCTGAGTGTGTCCTTATAGCACTTGGAGCACATGCCGTCTGTGGCTGAAGTGCCGTAGAACCCACAGCCATTCCGACACAGTGTGGGATTGGCCTGTGCTTGATCCATCCTCAAACCTGCAGGGAAATATTATGGGATAGGCTGTCAATCAATTAGTTTGTGACCATATAAGGTCATCTCATTCCATATTTGGAATCGTCTCCTCCCCTATTTGGCACTATAGGTGTAGCCTGTGCATATATATCTATAGTATTATGTGTTTTAAAGCTATCATACTGAAATAGCTTTGAAACACATCATACTAAATTAAACACATGATAGGCTGTCAATCAATCGGTTTGTGACCATATAACTTTATATATTATAAGGTCATCTCATAATTTCTCTTTCCATATTTGGAATTGTCTCCTCCCCTATTTGACACTCCAAGTATAACCTGTGTATTTTAAGTTTAAAACCGATCATACTATGAAATTGTTAAACAGTTATGACTAATAATTATAGTAACATATATCTTGATTCTTTTTGAAACAGTTGTGTTGTTGTCTTTGGCCAAAGGGTGTTTTCGAAGTTTTCAATTTTCTGCTTGAAGATTTCAATCAATCAAGCTTCAAACTCCTGCACTGAAAATAATACATGATAGAACACTAAAAGCACTGTCCTTGTCCCTCAAACTAATGCATTCAGCTATCACATTTCAAGATAGCATCAATCGTACACTATAATACAAGCCATGAATTCAGGATCCTCTCAGATATTCTACCAAGATATTGCTTGGAATGAGAACCAAATTCAGTTGGGTGAAATTGTATACAGTATATATTAAATATACCTGAATATACAGTATAGCAAAGGCTATTTTAAAAACGTCACAATACCATTCACACAATTTGACTTTGAAACATGCAAGTTGCACACACAGAAGACAAATGGATGTTTATACTTCCACTGAGATTGGTAATACTAATTACATAGTAGTGAAAATCACTTGCTTGAGATTTTTAACTGTGGTGACCAAATTTTTAGTTCACTTACATGTAGCAACTACTGTATGTAGTGTGCTATTAGTATTGGAACCCTCCCATTATATTCCTACCTTATTCTATATAGCAATTCCCAAGTGTCTTGTGCTATGTAGTGGGACTGTCATTATTGTCCTTTTATGCCTGCTGACATAACAGATACTGTACATCCTGAAATATTTCTGGTATTTCTGAGTCTGAAGGTTACTTCTCAGCTACAACGCACCACATCTGCACACAAATTGTTTTCTTACTATTGTTTTGACCATAAACTTAAAGATACCAGTGCCCCCAAACCGCTGAATTTCACTGTGTAGGGAAATTTAGGCAATGCAAACATAAATAAATTTACAGTATACAAGTCTGAATTTGATTGATCAAGATAGAAAATGTTGATATACAGTATAAATTATGGATCACTTCTGAAACACAAGACAGTTATCTGGCCTAGCAAGGAAATGATCTAGAATTTTAATAAGCTAATTTACATGGCTGGTCATACAACTAGTGCATAACAGCAATCCACAGATGCTAGGCCTTATGCAATTTTAGCAACAGCTGACAGCCATGCCATTTAAAAACCAAAATCATAGCTTTGGTTTTAATTTTTGTGGAAAAATTAAAAATTTGCGTCTTTCAGTTGCCTAGTGGCAGTTACATGTGCGGAAATGACATAAACCATCTGGTCTCTGATTGGCTGGTCCGTTGCCCTTCAGTTACATAAGCATATAGCGAATGAGCTAAAAATAAGATACATTTTACATGTAAGTCCTGTGGCTACATAAACGCATGTCAAACCATTCATTGTGGGGGTCTGGTACACACTGTTTCCCAATGTTTGCAGTAGGAGTTTTACGCTTTGTTCTAGAACTAGGTGTTTGCTTAAACACACATTGGAGCAAATTGTATGTAGGCAAATTATTGCATGCAACATATAGTCTATCTGGGGCTTAGAATCTATTGCGTAATTATGCACAATTAGAATAGCTTTTCTTTTCCATTTTGTCACATTAATTCAATGTCTTGGCTGTCAAATTTGCCACTTGGATTTTCTGCTAGGAAAAGAAGAGTGGACCTTGATACTGCAACCCGTATCATTCAGGATAATATCAACCCTAAAATGTTCATATTTTGGTATCAACAATTGAAGATAGTCTTGTCTATGACTGCAATTAGTCATACAAAACAACCTGTACCCCCATTTCCTGTGTACTACTAGACTACTTCTGCTTTTGATTCAATGCTAGATTCGATAGTTTTGGTATAAACAATACTGTCTATACACATCATTCAAGACTTTTTCATGTTTTTAATTCAATTTGTGTGTTTTACAAGAAAAATTTGTGAAAATTACTCTGAAAGACTGAAGCCTGAATAAACAAACCATTTTCCCTACAGGACATAGTACACTGCCCTGGTCTCACGTAATCCACGTTTCCTGTTATATCTACCTTTTCGTTTTCATCAAATTTTTAGGACGTTAGAGCAAGAATCATAATTTTTACGTTCAACATGACCTAAAATGGCTCGAATTTAAATCCCCGACACCAGCAAAAACATCTGTGTTGTGTTGTCTACCTCCTTGGCTCGCCCCCGCCGTAACAACGAAAGAAACCAAGAAATTACGAGATCGATCTACAAAGAAGATACCATTTTATGTAGTGAATGTGTCAGCGACGTAAAACCGAGGTACCGTACAGACCTTTGGCAGAGTCAAACGAAGGCCGTTGCTTTAAAAAAACAACATCCGATTTTTTTTCGGAATTTTGTTACATTATAACAATCCCCGTTCTACGGAACACCTAGAACTAGTTTTCCTTCTCTAATTCAACCAAATTCAACAAGAAAATGTGAAAGACTTTACCTTGGTAGAGTTTGTTGGGCAAAGGTAAGTCGTATGTACCAGGAAGAGTGTATATCCGGTGTAAAACGACTATGATTCACGATATTATAGAATGACTAAGCTACAAATTGGAGGTTAGTGGAGAGGGAGGGGGGCATCCGGATGTGTTTAGACATATTCAACAAAAAATACGTCCCTAAAAAACGAAATAAACTAACAATACATCCTCACAACACCCCTTTCGTGCCTTCGGTATAGCATAAACTGACTTACCTGCTGTCTAGATCCTTTAGAATGAGACAATATACGCTAGAAAATGAAGAAAACGTAGGAAAAAGATTAACAACAACCCTCCGTCTTTCCTTTGCAACGTAGTCCTGCCGACGTACAAGCTATTTCTGGTTAGTCACGTGACCAGATTCTCAGCGCTGATTGGCTAAGCTCGGAATTCCTGTGTATTACGTCATGCTATGACGTATGGTGGCTATGAGGCGATTTGCCCCAAACAGCTGCTAAGGTTTTTTCTCAGTTTTTACCGAGTCTGGAACTTTCTTAAACAATTAAAACAAATTGTATGAAACTGGAAAGTGCATATAGATCTCAATGACAATTTTAAGCAATCTTTCGCGCAATTTGTCGGTATTCATTCTTTCATTTCTTTTCTTCAATTTGCCAAATTTGGTCAACTATCCCAGCTAACGCAGAGTCCTTCAGTCCTTAATAAAGCAATTATTATTTTTTCTCATGTATAATGCAATAAATATATCATTATCGTATATTACGCTAGTAGTGGTAAGACTATAATTGACTTTTGGGTCATTCAGAAATCATCATCAAGGGTACTAGTACTATTAACGCTGTTAGTGTGTGACGTCATTTATGTTTTCAAGGACGAAGGGAAAATAAAATCGTGATTTCCGCTTTGAAACTGTCTGGTGGCATTACCATTTTATTACTGAACTTGTGAAGATAATTCCTTTATAAACTGATGATTCTGAGACGTGGTAAGTCACATCCGTTGACATTCTGACTCAGAATCAGCGTCATAGCATACGACTTTTTTGTGGCAGGCTTTTCAATCGTCACAAAGAAGCTAGCTGAACCTTGCATGAGGCACCCATATTGCCGCTCTAAACCTATAATATATCGTATGAAGAATGAGAACAGGCCGTTTCACATGTCACATGTGTTATGACAGGAGTTACTGACTTTAGATTTTTGACCGTAGCAGCTGCAGTTTATTTACAGAACGCTTTTAAAATGAAAGACAACAGAATTTTACAGGAAAAATCTACCGTGTCACTGACTGCCGAATGCCCTTGCTGTGGTTAAAACCCGGTACCCGTATCGACCGACCCTACATGTAGGCTAATCATATAATAAAAGGCATGGGTTCAAAGTCCGACAACTGTCACGATGCCGTCATGAGTGTTTTATTGAAATCACGTGCACATTAGAAAAAAGGTGGCTGACGATTTACTTTTGAAAAGAAAAAAAGAGATGAGCAAAAAAAAGCAAAAGGACCCTAAATAGAATGTGAGATTCTGATAATTTTTGTCAAATATTCTGATCTTTCAACAAATGACATTTCACCACTTTTGCACTTATTTCTTTAGCACTATGTAATTATTAGGTACACTGTAGTATAATACATAGTATTCTTATAGGGTATTGTTACGTTGTTCCAACGCGGTTGAACATCAAAAGCTCTTGGTTATTTATTCCTGACGCGTAACCTAAGAAGCTGCAGTATGACTGGCATCCATATTTTGATAGGTGGCGCTTTTACTTGACGTCTCAGATGAAAACGTCACTTCCGCCTTTTTGGACTATCTCATTCTCTATGGGGTATTCGAAAATAAAATAAAGCTAGTAGAAAGTACACTTGTGTATTTCACAGTTATATAAACGTAAAATGATAATATATCAATTAGTTAATAAATATACAGTAGGTATTGTATGACTTAAAGAGTGATATTATGATTTTATTAACGTTGTTCTCCAATAACACCCCTATCATTGTAAAGAATGGACTGCGCTTTTGTGGGTCCACTTCACAGCCCAGATTACTATGAGTTTCAAGTGTTGTCGACCGGTATTTTGTGAAATTTAAGACGGTTTACGCGACGTGAGGCTGACAGCCGCACTATGTAGGAGGGTGAACGTTACTATGATGTAGTGGCACGAATGCCTGATGCACGTAGGCTTCCACAGGGCAGGCGTTGAGATTTGAAGTTGGTTAGATGTTGATGTTTTTATATTGCTGAAATCCGCCTTGTGCTGGGGTGGGGGGCATGAGCGGTGGTGGTCAGCCGTACCGGTCAGCAGGTCAGCCGTCCACAGACACCAGGTCCAGCGGGTCAGCAGGCTCGGGGTCCACCCCGGAGGAGGAAAGGATCAAGAAACTGTTCCAGACGTGTGATGGAGATGGGGATGGGTACATCAGCAGGTAAGGCTTCTGTCTCCTGTCTCTCTGTCTCTCTCTCTGTGCTGTGTGCACCTGTGTGTGTGTGTTTGGAAATAAATATATGTGTGTGCGTGTGTGTGCGTGCCTTTGTGTGTGTGTGTGTGCATGTACGCGCGTGTGTGTGCAGTAAATGTGTGTGTGTGTGTGCAATAAATGTGTGTGTGTGCACAATAAAAGTATGTGTGTGTGTGTGTGTCTCTCTCTGTGTGTGTGTGTGTGTGTGTGTGTGTGTGTGTGTGTGTGTAAAAATGAGTGTGTGTGTGTGTGCATGTGTGTGTGTGCAATTATAAATGTGTTTGTGTCTGTGTGTGTAAAATAAATGTGTGTGTGTGAAATAAATGTGTACCGTTATGTGGTTTGTATGAATTTATATATGTGTGTGTACGTGGTTAACCAAAAAGTCATTTGACAATAAAAAAATCAAAAATATATAATAATATTTGAGTTCAATGCGTGAGTCAACTTGCAAATAAAATAACTACAAGTGAAATTTGCAATGATACAAGTCAGGAAAAATCTATCCAGTTGCTTGAGTAACAATGTTTCCATTGTATCTAATATTACCTGGATGTCTAGCCTTCATTGATGCTTGAATATTTTGTTGCAGACAAGACCTGTTGATGGTTTGCTGTCAGTTGAACATGGAAGACTCGGTACAGGAGATTATGGAACAGTTGGGCGCCGACGACAGAGGCCGCATCTCGTATGATGAATTCGTCCACTGTCGCACACAGGTAGGACAGTTGGACTTGCCTGCTACTAGGTACTGAGCTGTAGCATTAGGGATTGTCAGGAAGTTCAGGGCTTGAAATACTGGGTACATACTATATGCACCTTAGTGCAAGTAAAATTGGAGCTGTGCAACCAGGTATTCCTGCACCTACATGTGTAACTTGCACTGGGCAATGTACTGGCTCCATATACAAATGTAATGTTACTGGTTTATGTGGATTTTTATTTGCTGCATTGACTTAAATTTTAGTAAACTATGATCCACACTAAATTCCGAGTGGTGAAGGTAAAATTTGTCTGGTGCAGGTAATTTTCAATGTTACAATACTTGCAATTTGGTGCAAAAATAGTATAAACTGCATTATCTGCCTAAACGTAAACAGTATGCTAGTTGATACAATAGTTCCCTGCTGTAGTGCTTGCACAACTCTGAGCTATTGGTATAGAAGTGGAAATGGTATCATCCTATATACGGAAAGGTCATGGAAGGAGTTTTAGCAAACTGTAACAGCACAAAATGTTCAGAAATCAATGATATGTCTGTTTGTGTCCAGTTGTTAGGTGAGATAAACGACATGCTTCCCAGACTGGAGCAGCAGCCAGAACCGGAGGCTGGGTCCAGTCTACAGGCTACACACATGCAGTCCTGGCCTACAGGCAGCGATAACAGTCTGGGTAAGTCTCTACACACGTCACTACACATGTCACTACACACATCACTACACACATCACTACACACAGCACTACACACAGCACTACACTCAGCACTACACACTACACACATCACTACACACATCACTACACACATCACTGCACACATCACTATATACTACACACATCACTACATACTACACATATCACTACACACATCACTACACACATCACTACACACATCACTATACACACCACTACACACATGACTAACATGCTACACACAAGTCACTACACACATCACTACACACATCATTAACACACTACACACATGCAGTCCTGGCCTACAGGGCAAGTCACTACACATGTCAAACACAAAACAAACACACATCCAAATATGTAGTCAATTTGTTACTACAGACTACACATAATGTGCATGCATGTAATAATTTTCTACACAATTTACTCCACACATTACTATACACAACATGCATATTCATTTTCCCCCTCTTGTACTACTTTCCAGGGTCATGTGGACCTGTACGTGAAGCGTGGGAGTATGACTCTGGAGCACGAGATCTCAGCCCAGAGCCCAGCAACCTTCACAAACTACTGGAGGCTGCCAGTTCCTCTGCGGCCAATACGGGCGGAACTAACTACTTAGAGCTCGCTAACACGGTCAGTAGATTCACAAGAAAACAGTTGCTCAAGAAGTTTTTCAAAATCTATCCAGTTGCGTGAGCAACAGTTTTCTTGTTACCTGGATGTCTAACCCTCATTGACGTTTAATAGTTGCTGTTTCTATTTTATTATCAAAAGGTCTTTTCGTGCTTAGGCCTAACAAAATAAATATTGTGTTTCCTGTTACAGTCCAG